TAAAAAAAAAAAAAACAAAAGCAAAAATTAACATCAATATTAATCTGAAGTGATTATTAGAGGTTGAGTTAAATTTATGGATATACTTCTTAATTTTAACTATTTGAACATGGATTAAAATATATATAAAAAAAAAAAGAATAAAAGTTTTATACAAACAATATATGGCTATGTATAAGCACACTTGTAACCCACCTGGGCTACAACCCTGGCAAAACTTAATGTCCCTTCGCCCCAGAATACAACCGGGCCAAATTTAACTCAGAGCTAGGCTAAGCATAGAACCTCGGGTTAAAGTCGACTTATGCTCTACACTGATAGCTCAAGAGAGCACAACATCACAACAACAAAAATAACTAACCGCTGTACCCTTAGAGGGACCTAGTTAGCTATCAAAACACTACTAAAGAACAACAAACAAAGTAAAATTCAGGCTATACAAATGCTAGGAGTTAACATCTAGAAGTGATGCAAATTCCATCCAATCAGTCACAACTAATCTAACTGTGTTCAGCTCTTATCTGAGAATGCTTTGGAAGACTACCATATTGTGTGTCTTCCACATCCACCAGAGGAGGTAAGAGGAGCTGAATTCTGTTCTCCATGATTGGCTTGGCCCTTCTACATTGGAAAAACAAGTGCTCTTGTGTTTATGTTCTTTCTCCACAAATCTTGCAGGTATGATCAAGACAAACCCCTCTGTTTTCCAGGTTTTGTAGGATTTTTTTTTTTTCTATAAACATCCCAGTGTGGGATGGGGATTGAGGCTACACCCCCGACCTGTGAATTCAATGGCCCATAGAGGGCTAAAAAGTCAATGGTCTACATCAATGTCAAAGATACATAGAGCAACATCAAAAACAGAAAAACAACAAAAACAAAATACAAGGATCACATAGTATCAAGTCCTCATAAAAGGTCGTCCCGGTCAGAGTAGCCTGACATGGGGTCCAAAATGACAAGTCTAGTCAGGGTCAGGTGGTGGTCGTCGTCTGAATATGAAGGATAGGTACTCTAGCTAGTCCATCCAAATGAGCGTCCGAAGCCGGAGGGGAATGTCCTCAGGATGAATGGTGCGTCTCTGGGGTATAGATGCTCCCGTGCTAGCAAGGAAATCAGCGGGCCGATTCCCTTCTCAGAAAATGTGTGAGGCCTGGTAATGCATCGAGCGGAGGGTGTCTCTGATGCGCATAAGGGGATGCTGGATCTACCATGAACCCTGGTGGCCAGATGTCAAAAGTGTGATGACAACTGCAGTATCCATCTCTATCCAGATATTGGAGGAGATTGAGGCGGCAACCTCAGGACCAATCTGGAGCGCCTGAATCTCTGCATCATAATTCGAGGAGGCCCGGAGTGGCCCATGAAAGGCAGAGATGAGTGCCCCATCATGATCCCTAATCAGGCGCCCTCCTCCAACAGCTCCGGTATGTCTGTCGAATGCGCCATCTGTGTTTAGCTTAACCCAAGGGGCCTTGGGTTTCAGCCAAACAACGGTCCTAGGTCGTGGGTGCTGGACAGGTAAAGGAGGCGGTGGCCTCAAACGGTGGGACGATGTACAACCTGTCCAGTCTCTCGTTGTGAGTCTACCCAGGACGGTAAGGAGAGAGAGGTGTTTGTCAACCTGCAAAATGATGTGAGCAAAAGAAAATATAATATCCCTATGCTTCGCGTTTTTCTTTTTGTCCAGGTGGTCCATAGGATCAGACAAGGAATAAGAAAGCCCACGTGTCTACTGTGTGTGCGGTGTGAGAAAAAACTCAGGAGCTCAAAAAAACTGTCTATTGTGGGTATGGTTATATGAGTATATCTGGCATAGTGCTCTCACACTCTCCTCACAATCTCACTCTCAAGGAAAAGATGGGTGAAATTCTCGATCTCAAAGGTACCGGTCTCAGCACAACAATGGCAACGAGAGGAGAAGGAGAACCCTCTCGCCTACATCACAGTGTCAATGGGAATGCGTCGTAATAGGAGACGCCACAAAAAGACAGAAATGGTCGGGGTGAGAAGGTCGGTCCAGATGGCCCCGAAGAGAGAGTTAGGCCGGTTTCCCAGCCTCACATCTCCCCAGGCCAATCACGTAGAGAATGCACCAGAAGATGTAAGTCTCCACCTCATGCCGTCCAGACCTCCCTCCAGAATGGGAATCTGTCGGATCTGGTCAATCTCTAGTCTACTGAAACCCCCACCCTCACCAAGAATATCCTCCATCTTATCTTTATCCCAAAATCCCCCCGTCCAAAAGTCCTTCACCTGCATGAAAGGCAGGTGAGTGACCGCCTAGTACTCGAAAGAGGGGCCTCGTCGAACAAACACTCATCCCAGAAGCTAACCTCTCCAGAACCCAAGGTCCAAAATATATGCTTCTGAGCACGCTTGCCAACAATGGTAAGCCGTCTCCACTGTCGACTATTCCGAGCAGTGGCTGTCACCCTGCAAGGATGGGCAACCCCACCAGGGCAAAATTTCCTCAGGAGGTATTGGGCCCAAAGGGACTTTCCCTCCCTATGGCGCCACCACATCCTGTAGGAAAACGCAGTAACAACATCAGAGAAACGTCGAATCCCGAGCCCACCCTCAGAATGAGGGCGACATATGGAATCCCACTTTACCCAGTGAGTCTGTCGTCGTCTCAGCGAGCCCTCGCCATGGATCCAAAAATAGCGGGCTAAGATTTGATATAACTCATGAATCTTAGATTGATAGGGGTCAAGAACCGCGAGAAGATGGAGGGGAGGGCACAAAGAGTGCTCTTGATTAGAGCAAGTCGGCCTTCGAAGGATAGATGTCTATGCGACCAGTAAGAAATCTGATAAATCATCCTCTGACGGACGTCGATGAAAAACTCATGGGAGAGATGACCCTTGTACAGGGGGGCCCCAAGGTAAGGGATGGGTAAGTCCCCACGAGCAAATCCAGTGCGCTCGTGAATCCGGTGGGCCTAATGGTCTGCTATGTGGTGGTCCATAATAAAGGTGCTCTTACTAACACTGACTAGCTGGCCATATGTCTCACTGTAGTGGTCCAAAAGACTCATGATATCAACTAGCCCATTATCATTCGCACGAGTGAAAATGATAATGTCATCCGTATAGGAGAGGTGGGAAATGGGAGGCC